AAATGATGCCTAGAGGTCATTATTACGAATTGGCTATCTCAGATTTTCAATGTCGCAATCACAGTAAAATTTGTGTGCTTTCTCTCAAACTTGGACTTTTATGCTCCAGGCAGATGACGTAAGCCGAGTGCAGCGCCACTAATTTGCATATTGCAATTTTACTCAGCTACTCTTAGTGGACAACATATGCAAATTTTGCACGGTTTGGCTTACTTTTGAAAGAGTTATCGCTATTTTTGTGATTTTTCCTTAATTTATGATAACCAGTGTATATTTCTATTTCTTGATAAGTATAATTATTATTTTTCATGAATATTGCTCTCAAATTACGAGAGATATTCCGTTAGTGCACAGAAAAGACTCAAAAGCTTCAAGTTACTTTCTGTACAGAAAAATAAATATAATAAAATAGATTAATATATTTTTACACGCCCACTACGCATATTTGATAGTCAGTTTTCCTAATTCCATTTTTTTCAATTTTTTTTTACATTAAAACCTCATTTAAAAACTGTGCTGCTTTTAATTTTAGACTGCACCGGATCAAATTACGAAATAAAGTATATAGATTTGGGTGCATAAAATCCATTTTTACCGTAAAATATCATACCGTAATTTTCACATAAATATTTATTTAGTCTGAGTGATTCAGCCATTTTACTGTAATTATTTCTGAAAAAATTAAGGGATATCAGATTTTCTTGTACCGTAAAACGTTCCGGTAAAAATGAATTTTATGGTAAGGAGTACCGGCGCCCTGAGTGCAGGTGCTTTTGCCGTAATTTGAATCGGAATTTGATCCGGAATTTTTTACAGTATGTGTAATGACACACGATGACAGAATGCTACATCAAACGAATATTATAAATTATTTATTATTACACATTTCACTCTTTTTCTTTCTCTCTCTCTCTCTTTTTCTCTTATCTCTCTCTTTCTCTTCTCTCTCTCTCTCTATTTCTCTTTCTTTCCTTCTCTTCTCTCTCACTCTCTCTCTCTCCCTCTCTCTCTCTCTTTGTTTATATATATATATATATATATATGAAGAATATGATATTATATATGATATATATCATTTAATATATATACATGATATATTCAAAATGAAGAATAAAACAAAGAAAAATTAAAGACATATGAAAAACAAGAAGAAAAAAAAGAATGATAAGTAAAAAAATAAAAAACAAGTTTCAAAAAAAAAAAAAGGATTAAATTTTATTTAAAAAACCGGAACTTTCTTCGTGTTTTCTTCTATTTATTTATTTATTATATATATTTATATATGTATATGCAAATTCTAAATATAGATTTCGTATCCTCACAGAGCGAAAATAAAGTTATATTAATAACGTATATAAAATAGAAATATTATTGATACAATAATTATTCGAAATATCATGTGTTTCTATGTATAAAATAAAATATTACGAAAAAAAATCGGAAAAAGTAAAGATATTTTTCACAGTAAATATTTTCCCTTCACTGATAGATATATCTGGTTAAGTCCT